AGAAGCAGGGTTACAGATAGGGTGGGTTTTGATTCTGCTGTGTTTCTCTGTATGATGGAAGAACATGAATAATGCTCAGACATGAAGACACTTAACCAAGTGTCACCCAGGCTTAAATAACAAATGGAACTAATTTGTGTATACTAAGATTTTGTGGTGAGTTAGAAAGTAACTCTAGGCTCAATTATCTGCAAAAACATTAAGGAAATGTGTTTATGCAGCAAGGGACTCTCTCCAAGCAACCATTCTTGTTAGAGGCTTCAGAGCTCCCACAGCTCAGCACAGGGAGAAAAAGAGCTGCTCACCTCTTGTTTTACATAGGTGAAAACCCCCACAACAGGTCCTGGGTTTCTGTGAATCTAGTGCTCAACAGCCACAGCCATACAGACGAGGATGGCGTTTCCATTCCTGGAAGAGTCTCTGTTGTCAGCTTTTCCTTTGTGTATGGCATATGCCATCCGAGGGACTCTTTGCTACAGAACCTTCCCATGTGAAACATGTCTTTGATAAACAATTTATCCTCTTGCAAAATTTCTAATAATGGCTCTCCAAAACAAAAACAAAACCACCAAACCCTTGCAATCTGCTGAATTCATGTAAATACTGCACTTCATTCCACTCTTGGCATTACTTTGCCTCACTATGTCTTTCTGTTGAATCTCCTTTACTGAAATCTTAGTTAATGCACCAAAGCATAGTTAGACAGAGTTCCTCCTACTGTTGCCAGGCTGAATGATTCAGAAGTATTAATGGCTTAGGGCAATATCTCCCACCACTGAAGGATCTTAGCTGTAACCCAGGTAAATGCTAAACTCTTCAATTTACAGTGACACTGCTCAATAGCACCTTCCCAGATGAAAGCATATGAAGCACTAAACATCTGTTCACTGCCCAATGAAAGCTAGTTGTCAGCCGACAGCATACTGCTACCTCATCAGCTGGCCAGTTAGCACTACTCCAAAGCTCAAGTACTTTCATATGCTGGAAGGTTTGGCTGTTCAGCCATAATAATGCGCAAATACTATTTTGCAGTTACTGGTTTCTATGTTTTAAACCAGCACAGGTTATGTGAACATATTTGTGTAAGTGAAAAAGTGACTCTATTTCTTATTATATTGCTTGGTATTATTGATTAAATATTGCTTTCAATAGGTATTAGCTTTATGCTCATGCCGTACAGAGCACAAGATGCATATCTAGTGCTTAGGAAGCAGCAAAGGTGGCAGCTGTGGTAGATGTTCAAAGGACTCTGGACTCAAATAACAATTTCTCTTGAGGTTTCCTGTATTTGTGCCCTTTATGTTGGATAAGCTACCCCCTTATGTTTCTGGTATGGCGGGCATAAGTGCCTAGAAAGTACCTTGTTCTGAACCACTGAAATTCCTCCATTATTATATGCAATGTATGAGATCATGCTTACCGTGACTAAACAGTGTTTGGGACAACTTGGGTAGACAGTTGTTACCTCTTCTGCTTATATTTCCTCTGCCTCACTTGCTAGGCGTGTGTGTGGCTGGCTGGAGTACTGCGTAAGCTTCTGTGTCAATGGATCTTGGTCCAGCTAGCTGCTGTCAGCGCTGCGGTTGCTTCTTGGCTGTCTCTCTGATCTTTCCAGTTCCCACAACCTGACTGAATGTATGATCTACAACCTATTGGGTTTGTCTTTTAATTTTACCTAGTAAGCAAATCATGATGAATACGCTGCATTTGAAGATAGTTGACACTGCTCATCCCCTGTGAGAAGGGGTAGGAGGACAAGAGGCAATGGATGCAAACAAATACAAGACATTCTGTCTAAACAAAAGGCTTTTTCACAGTGAGGGTGGTCAAACACTGGAAGACTTTGCCCAGAGAGGCTGTGGTGCCTCCATCCTTGGCAGTACTCAAAACTGAACTGGACATAGCCGTGAGCAACCTGCCCTAGGTGACCATGCGTGAGCAGGGCAGCTGGACTGCCAACCTCAGCTCATCTCTGCTGCTGTGACTCTCTCACAACAATCTGAGCCATGACAAATTAAGATGATCAAGCCCAACATCTGGCTTGACAAGGTATTTCATGAATTGGTTCCTCGTGAATGAGAAAGAAACAGGCTAAATGCTGGGGTGCGCTGGAGCCCAGCAAAAGCACAAGGGGATTCTTTACGCCTGCAGTGTCATTGCTTCTAATGCTTCTTCCGTTTTTGGGCTGCACGTTTAGCACAGCCTCCAGGTCCACCTCTTGCAGACAGTCCCCACATACTGCCGATGCTTATCTCTGTTCTTTTGCCTTTAGGCCTGCTCTATCTTTTCATTTTTCTTCTTCACCTTCTATGCCCCCTTTCTTTCTTCCTTCCTTCCTCCTCTCCTTCCCCCCCCCCCAAAAAAAAAAAAAAGAAAAAGAAAAAAAATATTGCAAAGCACCTACTGCTTTCCCACTGGCCTTCAAGGAGTAACTGCAGCCCAAGGGCATAGATTCATTAAAAAACTGTTACACTGCTCAAACTTTTTCTGGAAGTTTGACACAGCCTCCCTGGAAACAGAGTCTCATAAGGTAAGTATTTTCTAGGCTTCTCAATGTGGAGAGAAATATGTAACTCATCTAAAAAGGATACTGTTAAACTTCTGCCTGAATAACCAGCAGTCACCTGCAAGACTAGAAGACTTGCTACGCATTCTCTACTTGTCTTACGTTATTAGCTGCATTGAATGAATGTGATAGCCTCAGTGCGGGCAGCTTTGCTGATTTTGATATGTTTAATTAGAGTTAACTTTTTTCAAGATCATTCTTTCCTTGTAACTAAATCTGGAGGATAAAACTAAGCACCGGTGAACTCAACAGCAGAACTCCCACCAACTTAATTGGGATCAGGATTCTCTGAATATTTGAAATACTTCCAACTTTTTAAAGCCTTTTCTAACAGTGTATTGCTTGAAAAAGACTTAGATGTTCAGGACGAACGTGGATTTTGGTCAAGTGTGACGAGTTACCAGGAGAAAAAGGCTGAAAACTTTGAAATCTGTGCACGAAACCAGTTTTATTTCAGTTACCTTCTTCAGTAGCTATACAGAATACTTTGGAAACTGGACATTAGCTGAATTAAGTATGATTAGTCTTATTAAAAAAAACAAATCTCTGCCCAATCAGTTTGAAGATCATTGTGCATGAAGCATTTCGCTGCTCCTATTTAAAACAAGATCTGACAAATGAAATTGTAAAAAAACAAAAAGTAAAAAATGCACAAAACTGTCAAAATTGCCCAGAGCACAAAACCTAGAAGACTTAATAAACAACAACAAAACAAAACAAAAAACTTGCTGTTAATTCTATCTAGTGTACTACCCCTAGGTACAAGTGACTGGAAGCTTAGATGTTTACATAGTTATTAATTACACTGAGAGCATACATACATGTAGGCTTATTAAGTAGTGTCAGACAATGTTTAAAAAACCTATTTCTGATATTCTCAGTGTGCTATCAGAAGAGGAATTAAGAGGAGCCTAGAATCAGAAAACAAACTACTTAATTCTGACAGAAGCCTAAGAAAAGGCATCTAACCTCTGAAGTAGTTTATGGCACTAGTTAGCTTAGTGTCCCATAACTGGCATTTGCTCGGGGAAACTGCGAGTGGCCTGGAAGCTGCCCTAGTGTACTCCTGTGTACAAGGTATAGACATACAGCTGGCTGTCGGCCTTAGCCATGCGAGTCGTCTGTCCCTGGTTAAACATTCAGCAGGTCTTATGCAAACGCGTGCTGGTGCTTCTCAGTTGTTCTCCTGCGGCACTGCTGTGGCCTAAAAGGAAAGAGGAGAGGTTGATATTTCAAAGGAAAGAGACAGTCACTGCCTGCTTCATGTTCTCCGCATGGCCCTTTATTCCCAGAGCAGCACAGCATCTTGAAACACTCAGCGCATTTATTTTCAGGACTCGTTGCCAGAGTTTTATAGTGGGCACTGTGCACCGGACAAAATCACACCATCCATCGGCTCTGTGTGACCACAAGCAAGCCCATGGCAGAAGGGACAGCTGAGGAGGGCTTCCTCCTCTGGGTTGTCGTCTCTCCCCAGTACTCTGCTCCATTTTGACAGAAACTGCTTGAAAGTCCAGCTTGGAAGAAAAGTTGCAAAGAGAAACCATCTCCCCCAGCAAAACTCCTGGCAGCAGGAACTGATGTGCTTTGACACCCAAGACAAAAATCACTTTTCCCTCAGTGAACTTCCATGTCAGTATTCTCATGGTTTGTACCTGAACTGTGTAAACAGTTACTTCCACAGGCAAGTCCTTGGACATACTGCACACTATTTTAATTATTAGCCCTATATAACTTATTATGTATTTACTGTAGAGTTAGTTAATTAAGATTTCATCATTGCCAGAAGCCCCTATGGATTTACCTGTGTGTTTTAGCTGCAGAAAAATTTAAGACAAAGAGGAAGTACAGAATGTGCTTTAGCTAGGCAGATCTTCTCGCTCATAAAAGATACACAAGTATACTTTACATTACTCTCTTGGTATTTTTAACTTCTAGCTCTCTGTCTTCCTACATCCTTTTGAGATCTGGTAGGTACAAGAAAGTTTGATTTTCCAGTCAGCTTTCCAGAAATCCTCACGGAGACGAGAAGTTTTTTGTAGCATGAAGTCATTTCAGGCAGATGGATGGCCCAGACTTGCTACCACTTTCGCCCTTACTGGAATTCTATTTAGAGGAATTGATGACAGAGAACCAATGATTAAGATTTACCTCTCTCCTGTAAGCCAGATCCAGTTTCCCACAAAAGGTACAAACACTGCCAGATGGTTACAGATCAAGAATAGGAAAATAGTCCAATTCAAAACAGGTAGTCTCGCTTGCTGTCTTACATACTTCATATTCGATAAACAATTAAAACAAAAAGAAAGCAAGCAAACACTGAATTTTTGCGTGAATTTTGTTCAACAATTTTCCATGTTAATTACCTTTAAAATCTGAATTATAAATTTGAGTTTACTTTCTCAAGAACCTTTAAAACTCAGGAAGGTCAAAGTTTGTGTTTCAGCTGTTTGGTAAAGTTGTAATCATGTAATGTGACAAGCTTCAAAGAAATAATTTACATGGTACTCATTGATTATATAAAACTTTAACTGGATCTTACTAAGGGCTCACTCCAGGAAACTCCTGAGCACTGAATTTCTGGCTTCAGTGAAAGTGTTCTGTATCTAACAAAACCAAACAGTCTTTGAACCTTTGTGGCTGAACATCAAGAATCTGTCTTTTCTTCTCGTATAAGCAGTTATGTTTCCCAACGCATGGAAGAGCACTAAAAGGAACCCTATTAAACTCTCCCAGATGTCCTAGCTTGGTCGCCCAAAGCTGATCTTAAGATTTCTTTTCTATCCAAATAAAATCTCATGCCATTGCACAAGAATGAGACAACAGCCAACCAGCCTACTCTCACTGTCAGAGCAAGTCTTTCTGTGTTAAAGTGTTGATTTTAAAGAATTACATTAAGTTTATTAAAGACTTCTTTACTTTACAATAAGCTACAAGGTTTAAAACAATTGACTTGAAATGTGATGCTTTGTAGCAGGAAATATTACACTTGACTGAAGCGGGCCAAACCAATGTAGCTATTTCACAGTTTTCCATTGACTAGGTTGCATTTACCATCATTTGCTGCCCGAAGATGCTTAGCTAGTAGCAAAATTCTCACTAATCCTCTTCTCTGCTGGGAACCAATCTCGTGCTGATGAAGGGGAGGCAAGCTACAAAGCAGGGAACTCCACACACAGGGAAGTGCAAATGAATGACTCCAGTAGTATTTGGAAACAGGTTTTACCATGGTCCTAGGCAGGGATGCCCCGCAGGGGCTCAGGGCCCCAGGCCGGGCGGGGAGCACACTGTCTCGTACTTACGCAGAGAGTCCTCTCTCCAAACTGGCTGTAGAAGGTCATCTTGACTTTGTGCTTGTGTCCAGTCCTCTGGTCAAAGGTGTTACAGCTGTCGAAGGGTGGACTGTACAAATGCAGGCTAACAGCAGACTCTGTGTGGCTTATGTTCTCCACGCGGTGCAGGCCAATGGAGTCTACACCAGTGAGGGCATGAGACGAGAGGTTGTGTTAGCGGGAAGATACAACGATATCTCAGGAGCCTGCAAAAATGCTTTCTAAACTGAAACTTGTGAGCAAGCCAGCTAGGCATGCCTGCGCTTCTCTGGGCAATGACTAACTCGGTACAGGGATTTTGACTGCTGTTCTCTAGCACAGACTCCTAGATACACTGGTAACTCAAAATACGTCATTGCCTTCCACACTTCTTGCAACTTCTGGATTATCTGCTACAGGATAAAGGCCAACAGAAATCCAGAGAAACTCAGAGAAGGCCATGCTATCAGTAATTTTCTAGCTATTGTTCCCAAAGGACTTCACGGTTATTTACTGTCCTAGGAGATGCTGTTGTTGTAGATGCTCCAGAAGCATGATGGTTTGTGTTTCTAAAAATTAGCAAGACATTTTACAGGGAAAAAGCTTTTGTATTGCTAATTCTTAGCCTGGTAACAAGAATATTGGCCACATTCAAAGTCAGCTATGAGCATTTGGGGCATGCACTTTTGGACAGAGATACAGCTGTCTTCTACTGTTAGGCATCTGTTGCCTAATGAATCCTTCCAGTTTATTAGTTTGGAGAACAGGCTTTTCATTTGTCTGCTCTTTTGACTAAGGTGACGAATTAGTAGTGACTGGCATACTTCCAGACTTAACTGAATAGCAAGCATAACTGAACACGTAATAAAACAAGGCACTGTCTGTTGCAGGGTTGCTAATGAAGTAATGGCATTTTCTGCGACAGTGGAGCTGAAATCGAGCTACTATGTAAAAATGTAACGCAAGAAGAATCACATATACAAACCAAACCATTTCCATTCTACACTTCAGTGGAGTTTTTGAGTTGCTTAAAAGAGACCTTGAATTTAAATTTATGACCCTGCTGTAAAAACAACTCAGGCCTTTGTACTTGAATTAATACGTTATATAATACCTAGACCTGTATTGTGCAATATAGGCATGATACCCTGAGAATCATGAGTACACTCTTAACTCTAATACATTTGAACTGTAAGCCCTAAGTGTCGTCAACACAGTTTATCCAAATAGAGGACATACGGGGGAAAAAGTCCTAAATCTGTGCTCAACTAATGGGAGACTCCAATAAACACTGTTTAGTGGGTTCTAACTTTAAAAATAAAGTACAAGGGCAACCAAGAAGCACGCAATAGAAACATGAAGGTCACTCGCTATTGAAGTAATTAAGGCAATCAACACACTGTCAGTGTTTTCCTTCCACTTGTTTTATCCGTTTCTTTTAAACCAGAACATCTGTTACGAAACATGGCAAAGATCCAAACTGCCTCAGAGAACTGGACACCAAATTTGCTTAAAATGACCAAGGAAGCTTTGGGTCAGATGCACACAGGGTGCAAGTGCTTGCACCGGAAAAAAAGCACAGGTAGGAAAACTGACTGAGCCTGAGAACCCATGTTGCTGCCACGGGAGCATCAGCAGGTGTGTCATGCTCCTTCTTGCATTTCCTGTCCTACAGATTTTGTGTTTCCATTTCGTGTGGCATACCCTCAACAGAGGGCTGAAGAGCACTAGTCTTTCCTCCCCAGCGCCCTCTCCCTGGCTCAGTCCATAACCCAGCACGAGGCTCCCTCCAGCTGGGGAGTTCCCAAGCTCAGCCCCACAAGGTGCATGCTCCAGTTTTTCACTCATCAGATAAAAGGCAGACGGCCCCCTGGTTCGACGCTTTGCTGTTGTTCTGCTGAACTCATTGCTGTCCAGCATGATGTGCAATGTCTTTCACAGCATCAGAATAAGTTACCCCCAGCTGGCCACTCCAGGACGGACTCCAGCATTAGCAGAAAGTGGTGGTAGGTACAGATACCTGTCATGGCATGAATTTAGGTGCATAGGGAGCCTTACTGGTGGAGACTTAGTTGTCCCTCAGCATCTGTGGAGTCTGGCAATTTTTTCCTGGATTGGGTAGACTTAAGCATTTCAACTCTGCTGGCGCTGCACTTCAGCACTACAGTTTTTTGTTGATTCAGACAAGAAGTAGCACTGAGGATCGGGGGTCTCTGCTCCTGCCTGGTCAGTTCATTCCATAGACAGCTTTTACACTTTTGACCTAGGATTTACATGACTGACCAAAAGGATCATTTCATTGAGAAAATGAAGCCGATTAAGCTATCTAGTCTTTAGTTCACTTATTTCTCACAAAATACTATTGAAGGTCTATGTTTGCAAGCAATTTCAGGTAGTCATTAAGGACACAGTGCTGAAGGCTCCTTGGTCGGGGGGACATACCCAGCTTATTTAAGTATCAAGCAATTGCTGCAATGTCTTAGAATTAAGAGGACTTTTTTTGTTGTTTATTTTACTGAATCTAAATACAGGTTTGTGCAGAATCTAGAAAGCCGCCTTCTTAAACTGTGCATAAAGCCCCTTGGTTTATACCGTTAAAGGTGGGATACTATGAAGCAGATGAACTCCTCAGTTAGGAATAAGACTCATGGATGGTAGTTGTCAAAACAAGCTTAACAGCTTACCATTAATGTAGGCACATTGATTTTCCCTCAAAACTCGTTCCGATTTCTTCGTCATTTCACCATTCCCTTTTTTCTCAGGCCATTCAAACAGAGTCTCCTTTAGATTTCCCTGGAGGATCTTCATAAAGCAGTGTGAGTCAGTGTGATCATGGATGCTGCTATATATATAAAAAGAATAACCAAAGTCAGTGTGATATACATATTTGATTTCAGCACTGCAAACAGGACAGATGGCATAGCATATGAAATGCCATTGCCCATGGGTCACGCACAAAAATTCTTCTGAAAAAAAAAAACATTCACAGCAAGTAAGGTACGCCTGCTTAAAACTGCTACTTTAGAAATGTACTGAGGTAAGATCACATACAGCAGGACTTCGAGAACAGTCAGATACTGATCAATCTATGACTTTGCCACAGAGAAATACAAAGGAAGTCTGGAGAAAGGAAGAGGACAGAAAAATTCTTCATAACACAAAAAACTCTTGTGGGCCAAGAAAAAAAACCAATGCTTCCCACTGTGACCCCAGGCAGAGGCTGGTAGAAACGTGCAAGTATACCTGACATTTGCAGATCCACCATGCTCACTGCCGAAACATACGAGAAGTGAGCTACTTCTGCTTAATTTCTATGGTCTCTTTACTACTGGGGTGCACAGGCATTTGTTCAAGAAAAAATGCTGCACCGCTCACTCTGACAGTACTAAGTAGAACCAGCTACAGTAAGCTGTTAATTTCACCAGTTTGGCAAACCATGAACAAAGCAGCAGGATCTGGTACGATTTGTTTGCCTGCTGGATCTGTCTCCTTGTCCGAAGCATGTTTTAATTGCTATGCTTGGAGACATCTGGGCTGGATATGCAGTTTAGTTTTGGCTTTATTGTTGGGGTTTTTTTTTGTTTGTTTGTTTGTTTTTTTGTTTGTTTTTTTTTTTAATTAGAGGACTAACTGTTACAGAAGTCAACGGGATTAGGACAAAGGGAGAGCTCTCCACCCATCGGGGGCGAAGAAGAAGGGGGAGAAAGGAGAATTTGACCCTCCTGGAAGTACAGTGCTAATGAGTTTCTGTGAAAAACGTGGTACTTGGACGTTACTGTTTTCAGTAAACAAATGTCAGGGCTTCTTACAAACTGAGATGCCAAGAGAGACAAGCTTGCTTCAGGCACAGAACAGTTCACAAATGCCACGTTGTCACGCTCCTTCCACAAGCCATAAGAACAATCTGATCCTTCTCATGAAGGAAGCAAAAACAACTTGTGGTCTCAATCCAGCTCTAGCAAATGCTCATCCAACTCAAACACAGTTTGACATAAATTACAGGCTTTGTGGGAATAGCCCAGAAGGAATAGAGGTGCTGGGCTTGGTTCCTGTATCCCTCGGAGCATAGCGTAATGGCATCCCCTAAAGAATACTGTAAATGCTCAACTGCACACTCAGTTAAAACAAACAAAAAAACACTCCGACATCTCCTTAGGTTTTCTATTTATATGCGAGCATCTTCAGTCAAAACCTGCGAGTTTTTTTTATTCCGTATTTGTTTCAGCCAACGTTTTGTGGAAGACCCTCCAAGGGACAGATCATGCCCTCACGTCTGTGGGACTACGCAACCCAGCGTACCGTCTGTGTACACAGCGCCGGAAGACACATCAGCAGTGTGGTCCGCTTTGAGGGAGAAGATGGGATGCGTGAACGTAAAGAAAGCCAAGTACTCCTGGAAAGGGGCTCCCTGCTCACAGCCTGCAGTCCTAACCCAGACCTGCTTTTCTCATCTTGTTGCAGAGGCGGGAGCTAAACACCACGAAAAAACAGACTATTTAAAATGCACCAAGTCCTGCCTCTGCTACCAAGTGTTGTATGGGTCTGTTGTATGGGACAGGTTGAACAGGCTCTGTTCAATCCATCCTGCCCACAGTACCTGCTCTATCTCTGGGACCAAAAACTTCCTCTGACCGATTTGGTAGATAAACAGAGCATTTTTAAAAGAGTGCTCTAAGAATGCCCATGAGGTACGAACTTCCAAAAGACACAGCAAACATTCAGCACTGCTGCACCAATAGGATCTCTGCACTGCTTAGTTTCCAGACACTTTATGATAGCTCACAAAGGGCTGATGATTATTCTTCTCTTTTTGTGTGACAGCAAAAGATACGGTGGCTTTATATCTGTTTGCTAAAACCGTAGTCTTTGGATACGAACCTGCCATGCCCTTCACCCCAGCACAAGATCATCAAGTTGAACTTTCCATTTCCATTGTCCACAAGATTTCTTGTATACCTGAAATACAAAGTGTTTGCTTTTTACTGTACTGATACGCCTATAAAAGACAAAATTATACAAACAGATGTATGAAGGAAGCTTGTGACATAAAAATCCTTTTTATTCTTTCTCTTGAAAGCCAAGTTTTACTTGGAAAAAAATGAAATTGTATTTTTAAGCTTCTTTTTTTTTGTAAGAACTCTTCCTCTGGGAAGAAAAAAACGCACATATTTAATATTTTACAATCCTATTGCTTCTGAATCGCGTAGATGATTGGAGCTTGGGAACTGCGAGTCCGAGACAAGAGTGGTAGACAGGATCAAATCAAAATAGCTATTGAATGAAGTCACTTCAGCAGCTGGCTTATAATTAGAAACAGAGGACTGCACTGAAACAAGAAAAATACATGGTTACATTCCTCTGCAGTTCATTTTCAGATATTCTTGGCTTTCCTTCTGTTACGCAGTGCTCATTCGTACACAGCCAAAAAACCAAAGAAATAAGATGTCAGCCTTTCTGTACGTGGTCCTCCAACTCTGTTCCTGAAAGTTCTGTGTCTTGTACTCTAGCATTCGTGTGTAGATAAAACACCTGTGGGGTAACTTCTGCCAGTACCTACTTCTAAACAAAGTTTCTGAGAGCAAAATTTCTTAAAAAAATCTTTCACGTGCTAGCTTACAGTCTTGCTTCTACAGGCTTTTTGTCAACATGTGTGTTCGAGACTGTGATTTGCTTTCGGGGCTTGAAAAGGTCTTTTAATAGCAACATCTTTTGTTTGTTTCCATTTTCTCTCCTGCAAGCCTCCCTCGAGCTGCCGCTCGTCTCGTTATATTGAACAGTTCACTAGAGAAAGGACTGGGGTTTTGCTCTATACGTTACGTTTCCGTAGGGGGGCTCTTCTGATTTGGCGTTGGTGCGTCTAGCTGTTAGGGTGCAAGTAACCCAGCGGGACCTTCTGATTTCATTTGAGCTTTAGTCATGACTGTTTGCACTTTACTTTGCCAAGTAAAGCAAATACTTGCGCTGATGACAGGACACCTCACTCTCGCCTAAAAGATGCAAGCAGGGACACAGAGAAAGCGTGCTGATGCCAGCCGAATGTTTTTTAATTAGTTTCCCCATGAAACCACTCTATTTTACTCAAGATAGGATGCTCACAAAGAATTACCATCAAAGCACAGCATGTATATCTATATGCTGCCTCTTAACACATCCACGATCTGTGTGTATATTAGGTACACATATTTTTCCTGTGATGTCAGACTATAAGCAATCAATGCTGACATTACAGTGAACTTTTCAAGTGCTGTTATTTCTGTACAGCAGGTCTGGCCAGCCAAAAAAAAAAAAAGGGAAAGGCTGCCGTGCATACTTCTAATGTTAGCACACTTTTGTTTTTCAGATTCTTCGTTTCCCAAGTTGCAAATTTTGTGATTTGTTCCGAATGGAGGACGGTCAACACGAGGTGAAAGTAGGCTAGCAGAAGTCAAGCCAGAACGACACTTTCAGGGTCGCAAGGTTGAAAGGAAAAGCTTGGGGGGGGGTTAGGTTTCTTTATATTTAAAGGAAGCGCTCAGATAAAATGTGTTTATATTGAAGACGGGGGAGCCACCAGTGGCGGGGAATAACCTGGCTGTTAGCAAAGTACGAGCAGCTCGAAACCCTGACAGGTATTTTCCTTCCTCTCAGCAGCCAAAAAATAAAACCCCTCGACCTGCGTTACCCCGGAGAGGGAAGGGATTGAAGGAGCC